AGAGCATCAGTTATCATTCACACTCAGAGCAAGTGAAGGATTTTAGAGTCATTTCTCTCAATATTTTATTTGTAAAATAGACAAACAAGTCGGTCCCCTGAAGATTTAGTGAATTCCTTTTGGCAGGCAGAGTGCAGCTGGAGTGAAGAAGGAGACTGAAGGTTAGCAGCTCTTCTGTCTCAATAAATGGAGTAGCATATATATCTCCGGAGCTCCAGTTTGTTGTCTTTGGCTTTGCAGCTGCTCTCCCTGCAGATACGGGAGAAACTCTGGGAGACCAAGCTGCTGACAATGCAGCAAGTGTCCCCGACTGACGAGCAGGATCAGAGGATGTTATGTAACACACATATGAGCAGAACATATATAGTGGCTGACCACATTAGCCTTTAATTCAGTCTGCCTGCTGGCTGTTAGCTAGCTTGCAAAGCCAAAACCAACCGTTCATCCGTACATATTATAGAATTCACAAATATGTCTAAGGGAACTCAGCGGAAAGAAAAAGATTTTGCTTGTGTCGCAACTGAATCTAAATGGAAATATTGGACTGTTAAAAATAGATAGATCAATGCAACCTTTTTAGATTCTTTTGTTGAACCTCCATCATGCAGTCTTGGCTCCAATGCTAGATAAACCACGATAAGGTGCCCTCTGGGGCAGTGGTTCCCAACCTGTGGGTCGGGGCCCCCACTAGGGGTCGCCAAAGCTTCACAACGGTTGTGAGGCCTTCTTGATATTAATGGATGTAATATACACGGTAGGCCCATATCTCAGCATTTCTTTTCTATGAAGAAAACTAAATAAAACTGTTATTTCTTCTTTGATTATTATTTGAGATATAAACTTTGAAGGCCTGAACACGAGCTATATTCACAGAGCCTTCTCTCTCTGGTAAACAGCCTTGTCCTGCATTGGAAACATTTAAACAACCAAAGAGCTGAAAGAACAATGACAAGAAAACACTGAATGTGTCAGAAACGAAGCAATGGGGGGTGAGAGAGAGGGGAGGACATGCAGCAAAGGGCCACGGGTTGGAATTGAACCACAGAAAGGACTGAACCTATATGGGGTGCACACTCTACCAGGGGAACCACCTACCCCCATAACTGCTTTTCGCCCTCGGATCACAGCCTGAAAAAGTGAGACGTTTGTTTCAGCTTCTGTTCTCAATAATGTGGCGCCCTCTGCTGTCCTCAAATGAGCATTTCTCTCTTCAATTATACTGTATGTTTTATCGTTTAGGTCACAGTCTTAGTGTTGTTCTGGACTGCATCATATTCAGAGGTGTTTCTGATATTCTGCCTTCCTCTGGTTTAGAAACATAAAAACATCTCTAATGTAGAGACACCATCTTTAACTGTGAGCACAATAATAAACTTATGTCAACAACTTGTCAATAAACAATGAACATCATAAACTTTGTATAGGTAGAATTTATAGCAGATGTGTGTCATATAGTTACCACTGACTGTATGATGTTCTCTGAATAAGATCTAAGTTATTCTCCTTGATAAAGTTTCCCCTCTAAGAACGTCATTAGGGTTGTTATTTTATCCAACTTTAGAAAACTAATTTCAGAACCACAGAAAACAGTTTTTACAGCTGAGTAGTACTAACTATTAAAAAACAAACTAAACTCCATGTGTACAATCATCACTGTGATCAAATATCCACTGATATTAAAACATCTCCCCTCACAAACAACACAGGTGATGTGATTGGATGTCAGCATACGTCTGATTATTATCCTTATATAACAGATTTTCCTCAGAATTTGGAAGGAGTCATACCCGAAGGTGATTAACTTTAGATTTGGCTTTGTTGATACTGCAGATCAGGACACATAACAGGTATTTCTGAGGAAGAATCAGACTTGGATGTGCCCCGAGCTGTCCATTTTTTTAATAGTACAGTTTCACAAACGTTTTACAGCATGGACTGCACTACATGCATGAAAGATACTGAAATAAAAATATTACAGGTAATGCAAAACTTTAAAAAAAAATGTAAATTACATTTTTGTGATCTATTAGTTTAAATATTTTCATTCAAAACTTTATTTAAGTATTTCAGAGATCCCTCCTCATACTACCAGTGGTACACATACTGTAGTTTGAGAATATAGTTATCTACCTCTGCGTCCTCACATGAGCACACTTTAAATTGCGCATGTACAGTTTGTTTTTTTAGTCTTACACTGCTCAAGATATTTTGCACACCATTTTATTGCATATTGCATATAGTATATATATCTTTCATTATAGTTTTATATTTTCTATTATATTTTATAATATTCTTATTTTGTGATTTTTTATTGTACTTTTACACTTCACTGTACTTTTTTTATTACATTCCCATATGCTGATAATTTGGGAACTGTCGTACCTGGAGTGGATTCTTTAGATGTGTTCATTGTTACTGCAGGTAAGGGATGTGCACCTATCCTGCTGTGACAAGATTTACCAACTCTAATGCTTCACAGGAAGTGCCTCTTTTCGTCCAAAGCAAACATGAGTGTTGCAACACATCCTGGATTGTATAACTGATATTTCTGAGAATACTGTCCTGAGCAATATCATTTTTTTTGTCTGAAGGAACCAACAACAGATTATTACATGAAATGCAAAACGTACTTTAAACTATACATTTCAGCAATATCATAGTTTTTTCATATGAAATGTTATAGTATTTTGACAGTGTTATATGTTTTTTAATTAGTTCATTCAAAAAATTCAGAGATTCCTCAGCGTAACACCAGAGGCAGCTCTGGGAGGCAATCGCCATTAATAATAATGATAACCCTAACCCTCAGCAGAGGATGTACTTCCTGCGGCAGCTGACTACAGTAAAGTTGGCAACAGTCCTCTATCCTTAGAAAGAATCACTGTCACTGATTTAAAGTTTAATCTAAAATGAGGGAGAAAGCTTAGAAAGAGTGACAGAGGGATCTCTCTTCCAGGCCACCAGAGGCTGGCTCCAACAGTGAGTCAGTCTCCATAAGGCCCCATATTAAAATGAAATACACGTTTACAGCCTGGTTCAAACTGGTCTCTATAGGTACATTCTCTGTTTCTGACAACTGTACGAGGAGTGAATTTTTATACAGCACACTCGTTTAAATTATATAAAGGCTTAAAGTTATACATAATTAAAGGCTGTTACAGGTTTTGTGTCCTCTGTGCTACAGCCTTATGCTTCAATCATACATCAGCTGTGATTGGTTGAATCAGCCCACATGCTTCCAGGATGGATGGAACTGCTTTAAGTAATTTCCCCACGGGATTATTAAAGTATATCTGAACTGCTGCTGTATGTACAGAGCACACACACACAATGACAAAGCTCTGAAGTACATTCAGTTAGCAGCACTTTCTCTACACGTTTGGAAGGGGAGTGTGAGGTGCTTTGGTTGCAGTCTGCAATCTCACCACTAGATGTCACTAAATCCTATACACTGGATCTTTAAAGAGGAAGTTCCTGTCAAAATAAAGGTCCTTTTGTGTGCAATGTGCTGCCTCTCTCTCCCTCATTGTGGTGCTGTCTGATAGTTGCTGTCCCTATATGCAGCAGCCCTCTCTGATTAGATTCTACCTAAAACAGTCTGAACACACAGAAACATCAAAAACAGTCCCAACACACAGTTTGACATTTTTCAGCTTTTATTCAAACGTTTGTATAGAAATGATGAAGCACTGCCTGAGATTACATGATAGCTTCCAAATGCATCATCAGCAAACAACAGAAACATACATGAACTTTGCTTGGATTTGAAGTCATTCTAGAAGAACACAAACAGAACCTTCTATTCTTCACCAGCTGCCTCTTTTAATATTTAACTTTTGCTTTTTAAGGACATTTTAATCTGTTTCTGAGCTGCAGCGCAGCCTGAAATCCTCAGTCAGGGTCTCCTGGTCCTTTCAAGTCACCTGATGTGTGATCAGGCATTTTTGGTCTGAGCCCCTTAGCTTTAAACACTGATATCAAATTCTCTTTTATCAGAAGTTGACTTTAATCAGGTCCCTTTTTAACTTGGTCCATTTGAATTCTGCTGTGTGTTACTTTATTTGATGTCATTACTTGTTCTATTATCCTGCTTTGCTGTCTCATTATTTATCACATTAGTTTGTTTCTGTGTAGCTCCGTCTTATTCATCGAGGTGCTACAGTATAATGTCCTCAACAAGAGTCCAGTGGGCAGTTTGATTAGATAATTATCTAAAAAAGAAAAGAATAAAAGCAACAGAACAGAGTGCAAGAAGTCGTCTTTGTCCTCAACGACATTAATAACAGAGTAAAATCAGATTCAGAATCAGAATCAGGAATACTTTAATAAACCCAGGGGGAAATTATTTTTGTTCCAAACTCCAGATATACATACAACATATATTATACAAACAACATATATTAAGAACAAAATATAAATATATATATATAACTATATATAACTATATATATATATATATATATATATATAAAAGATCAAATGTACAGTAATGTGCAAAAAGTGCAAAAAATGATTGTCTATGTTTGCGTCAGATTACAGAGAGGGGGTGTCTGACTCTCTGAGGGAGGCGTTGTATAGTTTAATGACCACAGGCAGGAATGATTTCCTGTGGCGCTCTGTGATGCATCTGCGTGAGAGGAGTCTTCTGCTGAAGGTGCTCCTCTGCTGGGCAAGTGTGTTTAGTCAATATGTGTTCTCTTAAAGCTGCACAAGAGTGGAACTCAATCACAGCAAATATCAGAGTTCAACACAAACTATTCATTCAATTCTCATTAACAGAATGAACCTGAAACTAATTTAACTTTAACCTTAAAACCAGGTCTTAACCATTAAAGTGAGGAGCAGCCAAAATGTCCTCACTATCTTACAGTATGGTCTAAAACTCAAAGTGAAGTTTAACTGCTACAGCACACACACACTGGAGCAGACAACTGCACAGCACATGGAGAGATAGTTACGATTCTGGATCAGATTCCCTGAATGGTGTTGATGAATTAGTGTTTGCTCCTCATCTGCAAAAAGCTAAATAAAGTTATGTTAAAGAAAATCCAAAATTACTTAACCCCAATCTGAGTGTAAATACCAACAGAATGATTAATGTCTGAGAAGATAAAACAACTGCAAAGACTCTAAACATGAGATACATGTAAAGAATGTGTTGTGTTGTCTGTTCATCATGACTATGTTGATGAAAAGACATTATTTAAACTTACCTCTCTTACAACTCAGTTTGAACTAGAACAACACCAACAACCAAAAGAATGATGGGAACGGACACACCAACAACCAATCCAGTGGAGTCTGTAGTCTTGGGTTTGGCCTCTGAAATAGATGACAGAGAGTTAATTAATGTCATAGATTCAGTGATAAAGCTTTCAGTGTGTTTCCTGTGCTGAGAGAAATCCAGAGCAGAGTTATTGATTGGTAGCTTGTTGCTTCATTTACTGCACAACAATGTGAAGTTCAACCTATTTACACTGAATACTTCTGCTGTCAGGAAGCTGCAGGCACAATCACACATCTGACTGGAAACCACAGCTGGAGAATCGCACTGTGTCGCCATTTTGTGTCCTCTGTGCTACAGCCTTATGCTTCAATCATACATCAGCTGTGATTGGTTGAATCAGCCCACATGCTTCAGTGAGCTGCACACAGTCACATTTAATACAAAGCACAAGCCAAATGTTAGTAAATGTGGGAAGAGGTGAACATTAGTGAACTCCTGCTTTCACACTCAGACAGAGGAGGAGGATTCCTGCTCACATTTACAAATCACATTGTGACACTTTCACTCTTGTTTTCATCTCCATTTTCACTTCAACTCAAAACCTGATGCTGGATTTGAAGTTAGTTCTGCTTGGAATCAACCAACACTCTGCTGCAGTCAATGAAGCTACATTTCTACCAACATGTTTGTCATCTGGGACCCTCACTGCAACACAATGCTACTAATGACAAGTTTCTGTCTATCTATCTATCTATCTATCTATCTATCTATCTATCTATCTATCTATCTATCTATCTATCTATCTATCTATCTCACCATTAAGAGGCGCAGCGTATGTCTTAGCAGAAATCTGATGGTTGATGTCGTTCTGTGTAACTACACAGGTGAAGGTGTCGGCCTTGGTTACAGTAGCTTGTAGGATGACGTTGTAGCTTCCTCCTCTTTCTGTGACCTGTGGTTCTTTAGCAGGAAGGATGTTTCCAGCACTGTCCTTCCACTCTACTTTAGGTTGTGGAGAAACACCTCGAACAGCACACTGCAGGACCACCCCATCATCTGTTTTAACTAATTTGATAAATGGCTCTGGAGCTGCACCTGTGAAAATAATAGAAAGTATTGTTTATTATATGATAGGACATAATATGTTAACATTTCTAACTTCCCACCAAAAGTTTGTGAACTATTTATAAGTGCAAACAGTATTTCTGACCTAAATCATGACAGAAGTAAATATACAGTGAAGATTGAGTGTCTTTGATCAACAGTCTCATGCTGCCAGAACAGAAAACTCATCATTCAATTGGTTTCAATTGTTCTTTTGTAGCCAACAGCAGCTGATGAAAGATTTCACTAGAGTACGTTCACACTGCAACACTTAGAGCTCAATTCAGATTTATTGCTCACATCGGATTCTTTTTGTTTGGCTGCTCACGTTATTGTTTGAATATCAGATTCCAGTGTGAACAGGTCCCGGTCCTGAAGTGAGCAGCATGATGAATGTGGATCTAGAGTGACGTAAAAGTCACATGACTTCTGATACGACTGTTCACACTGAGGTCACACTGCAAAACATCAGAGCTGAATCTGATCTGGACCACACCCCACACACACACACACACACACACACACACACACACACACACACACACACACACACTACAACAACCTGAAACTTTCCTACGATGTTGCAACAAAGTATGAACAGACTGAAATGTGCCAACAGAGAGCCGTCACTCAAAGGGAGAACACATTTCCACCCTTTTTGGTATCATATGAAAGTAGGTGTTAATATTTACACAGTGCTGAGCGCGGGTGCACAGTACCCTATCCTATGTAGCACTCCACTAGTGGGAGGATGCATCGGGTTGTGCCAGTGGTAAATCCAATAGAAAGCAAGCAGTCAGTACAGAGAGATAGAATCCTCATTACATTGAGCAGTGTACATATGTACTTGATTCTTGTAGCAATACAAAAATGCGGTGCTTTTGTTTTCTCCTGACATTTGTAGATGTGACGGCTCTCTATGAGTCGCAGGTGAAACTCACTCACTCATTAACAGAATCAACATTAGTTTGTCACAATCCAGTACGTTGTCGAAATTCAGAATGAGGCAGGAAGCAAAAAGACAGAATGGACGACATTGAAATAGTCCAATAGAGTTCTGTAGTATCTGAATGTGGTGTTAAAGGATGACAAAATCAGAGATCTACACAGTGTTTCTGTGGTAAAGTAATACAAATATTTGAATAACAAAATGTAGAAGGAGAGGTATTCATTTGTATTTACACACTATCTGAGGCCACATATAGAAATGTGAAACTGAAGAACACACAGGTAAATCAAATCTGAAGGATCATTATCAAAAATATTTGGATCCTTCAAATTTGATTATTTAAGAATTGTGGCCATTTGTAGTTAACAGAATATTTTAAAGTTTTGAAATTCAAATAGTCTTCTAGTGGATAAACTATGTAATGGACACACTGTTACTAAAGCACAAGCCAAATGTTAGTAAATGTGGGAAGAGGTGAACATTAGTGAACTCCTGCTTTCACACTCAGACAGAGGAGGAGGATTCCTGCTCACATTTACAAATCACATTGTGACACTTTCACTCTTGTTTTCACCTCCATTTTCACTTCAACTCAAAACCTGATGCTGGATTTGAAGTTAGTTCTGCTTGGAATCAACCAACACTCTGCTGCAGTCAATGAAGCTACATTTCTACCAACATGTTTGTCATCTGGGACCCTCACTGCAACACAATGCTACTAATGACAAGTTTCCAGTAAAAACTGACACTCAAAGGAAAGCTACTCAATCTGTCTTTCAGTCTATCTAACCATTAAGAGCATATGTGTCAGCAGAAATCTGATGGTTGATTTCCTCCTGTGTAACTACACAGGTGAAGGTGTCGGCCTTGGTTACAGTAGCTTGCAGGATGACGTCGCAGCTTCCTCCTCTTTCTGTGACCTGTGGTTCTTTAGCAGGAAGGATGTTTCCAGCACTGTCCTTCCACTCTACTTCAGGTTGTGGAGAAGCACCTTCAACCTCACACTGCAGCTGCACCCCATCATCTGTTTTAACTAGTTTGATAAATGGCTTTGGAGCTGCACCTGTGAACATAGCAGAAATTATAAGATAATATTGAAGACATTTGTAACTTCCCACCAAAGTCAGTTCATTGTGTCAGTGAAAAATATTTGATATTGTTGCCAGAATTAATTTTTTTTTTCATTCAACTGATAAAACTGGATAATATATACACACTCACATAAAAGTAAATTAAAACCTTAATTAACCCTTCAGAGCTAAAACATTAACACATAATATAATGATAATAAACAATAAATGTTTCCAGTTTTAAGAAGTTCTGAGTAGTTTCAGTGTTTTTAAAGCTCAGATGTAGTGACGTCATCAGAGCCAGAACTCACCTTTGACCCAAGGGTATCTGTTTCTTAAGGTAGGATCTAAAAGACAAATTAAAACAGAATTATGTCAGAGTGTTTGATACAGAGGTTATCTGGATTCTGACTACTTGACAAAAGTCCATCACAGACTCTCAAACCAGTCTCATGAGTAAATGAACAACATCTTTAACTGTTTAATGAAAGTACTCACCAACAATAAAAAGCTTTATGTAGAAGGTTTGTCTTGGTTGAAGATGAGGAAAATCACAGGTGTAGATTCCAGTGTCATTCAGCTGCGTATTACTGATCATTATGGAGGCGTTACCGTTCTTCAGTTGATCAGAAAAATGAAAGACTCGTCCTTTGAACTGCTCATCTTGACCTGTATCTTCTTTATTGGAATGAATGCCTCCATCATAATAGAACACCTTCTTCTGACCATCTTTCTTCCACTCAAACGTAATGCTCTCCTGAGTGCTGAGGGAACAGGGTAGAATAACATCACTGCCTTGTTCCACTTTGACAACCACTGGCTCTGAAAGATAAAAACATTATTAATCAGTATGTTTACATGCAGACTCATTAAGTAAAGACAGAAATATGGATGTTTGTTTTAATACATCAATTTATGATTTAACAACTAACTTTCTTGTTTTTTGACCTGTTCTAGCACATTGTCCTCCAGATTGAATATTTGTATATTTGTTGAAAAACTCTTAAAAATCATATTTTAATGCATTAAAAGGAAAATAATAACACTTATTAATTATTATTATTATTATTATTATTATTATTATTATTATTATTATTATTATAAAAATATTTTTAAAAAATAAATAACAATAATAAACCACATTTTACAAACAAAAATGATTTTAAAGCCCTTTAAAATAACTGAAAAACTTTTGTCAAGCAATCAGTAAACTGTCAGGGTGGCACAATCGTACCATTTGACTTTTATTTTGAAGTAAAGAGGTTATATCAGTTAACAGGATATTGCATCAACCAGAGGACCCCCAGTGACCTTTATGGCTGAGTGAGGAAGTTTGTAGATCTCTCAAATATGAATAAAAATATCTACTTTCAGCTCTCAGGTTGGCCGGTACACTTTCCATATATATTCTGTATGATAGAACTACTAACTGTAGTTTGTTGACCCTGTCCAGCACATTGTCCTCAGTTAATCCTGTGAACTCTGCCCTCAATGGAAAACTAGAAACATCTTATTTTATCATTAAACTCTTTATTTTATTTAAAATGTATATGTATGAACTTGCTAGCAAAGCCAAAAGGTAACACATGTGCTCAAACCTCACTGTGGTAAAGTGAGCCACAGTCAGAATGTGGTTGCACCTACAGTAGGGTTATTATGGTAGGAAGGTCCTGAAAGAGACATATAGCCGTTGTTCTTTTATGAAAATTACATGAAATAATAATAATAATTAAAAAAAAAAAATACAATAATAGAAAATAAATATAAAATGTGCAACATAAATTGTTTTCAGTTATTTTATTAACATGAATAAACACTATACTACTGTTATTATTATTATTAAGATTCAAGAAGCTTTATTTATCCCGAGGGAAATTATTGTGCAACAGTTTCAATACAAAGGTGGGAAAGTAATACAGGGTTAGAGTAAAAATAAGCTAACATAAAATAAAATAAAATAAAATAAAATATAATAAATAATAAAATAAAGGCTAACATAAAATAAATCAAACAATTAATAAAATGCAACAAAATGCAAGCACTTACAGGTAACATAAGTAGAAAAAAGAAAACAAGTAACTAAATGTGACAAAATGCAACAGAAATTGCAGTTAAACGTAGGTGTAGTATATACAATATACAGCAATACGCACCGTGCAGTTTAGCAGCATAAATTGAAATAAAATAAGTACAAACTAAGTAAGTGATAAGGAGCGATTGGATAAAGTGGTAACAGTGGTAAAAGTGATAAAAAATTGTAGCAGCATTTGTTAGCAGCATAAATTAACTATGGTACAGTACAACTAAATAAAGTGATGAAGTGAAAATTGGGTAAAAAATGATAAAGTGACATTTGCTCAGGGCACAGTGTCTCCACTGTCTCTCTCGCGGCCGAAGGTAGATGAGTTATACAGTCTGATGGCCACAGGAAGAAAAGACTTCCTCTGGCGTTCAGTGTTACACCGGGGGGGAATGAGTCTGTTGCTGAAGGTGCTTCTGCTCGAGGTTAGCACCTGGTGGAGAGGGTGAGCGTTGTTGTCCAGGATACTGTGCAGTTTACACAGCATCCTCCTCTCAGACACCACCACCAAAGAGTCCTGTTGGACCCCCAGGACGGAGCCAGCCTTCCTGGTGATCCTGCTGATCTTCTTGGTGTCAGCTGCCCTCAGCCTGCTGCCCCAGCACACAACAGCAAAGAAAGTGGCACTGGCTACCACCAACTGGTAGAACATCCTCAGCATGATGTTACATACGTTGAATGACCGGAGCCTCCTCAGGAAATAGAGTCGACTCTGGCCCTTCTTGTAAACAGCCTCAGTGTTCTTGGCCCAGTCCATTTTGTTATCCAGGTGTACTCCAAGGTATTTGTAATCCTGGACAACATCCACAGTCACACCGTTGATGGAGATGGGTGTGGGGGCAGATTTCCTCCTGCGGAAATCCCCCACCAGCTCCTTAGTCTTGGTGGAGTTGAGATGCAGATGGTTAGTTTCACACCACTCGACGAAGGAGTCCACAACGCCCCTGTACTTCCTTGTCTGTCCAGGTGGGCGCAGGCACGGTGGAGCAGGAAGATGAGGCTTCCTCCACTCCTAGTCTCGGCTGGTAGGCAAACTGAAGAGGGTCCAGTGATGAGCTGACCAGGGGCCGAAGAAGTGACAGGACCAGCCTCTCCAGGGACTTCATCAGGTGAGACGTCAGCGCCACCGGTCTGTAGTCGTTGGAGGTGCTGCGACGCGCCTTCTTCGGTACTGGTACCAGGCAGGATGTCTTCCACAGCACAGGGACCCTCTCCAGACTCAGGCTCAGGTTGAAGATGTGCTGCAGGACTCCACTCAGCTGGGTTGCACATGTTTTGAGGACACCATCGGGACCTGCTGCCTTGCCTGGGCAGAGTCTGCACAGCTGCACAACTCCCAGTCTGTTAGTTCAAAGAAATATTATTATTATTATTATTATTATTATTATTATTATTATTATTATAATACTGACCCAAACTATAACTGTGTAATTTATACTGATTTCCTTTTCTCTAGTAGGTTAGCTAAAACTTCCAATATAATCTTATTAAGGATGACCCCCACTGACTGATTTTACTGTTTCCAAATAATTAAAATATGACATTATAATGAAAGTTAACACAACATTCCCTTTTATTTTCTCAAAAACTACACAGTATAATTACTCCAAATCTCCCATGAGTACAGTGGGGGTCATCCTTAATAGGATTACATTGGAAGTTTGAGCTAGTGATGTTCTTGGGTTTAGTACAAATCTTGCGTAACTCAGTTAGGAAGCACAGAGTTGAACAGGGGCGGCTGGCCCATAGTGGGCACCGCCCTCCTTCAGCCACACGAAAAAAGAGAGAAAAAAGAGTTTATTTTGCTATTTATTTTTCTAAGTCTTAATCATAGACTGTATATAAAGGTCTTAATATTACTGTCCAATCAGCAGCCTGAATATCACTGTGACATTCAGCCCCGCCCCCTTGGCGCACTCATAGATTTACATGTTGAGATTCTTTTTTTCAAATTTTGGACCCTACAATTCATTTCTACGGGCTCCGGGAGACCGCAAGATCGACATGGCTAGCAACTGCAACTCCATTGAGGGAATTCATTCAATTCAATTCAATTCAATTTTATTTGTATAAGAAGTTATCTCAGGACACTTTTCAAATAGAGCAGGTCTAGACCAAACTCTTTATAACATTAATTACAGAGACCCAACAGTACCACCATGAGCAAGACCTTGGCGACAAGGGAAAGAGAAAAACTGCCTGTTAAAAGGCAGAAACCTAGGACAGATCCTCCGGCTCTAGGTGGGTGGTCGTCTGTCTCGACTAGTTGGGGTGAGAGAGAGAGAGAGAGAGAGACAGAGAGAGAGAGGTGACAGACAGACAGACAGACAGACAGACAGACAGACAGACAGACAGACAGACAGACAGACAGCTGATAAATTGGCTATTAAAGAATTGGGACCACCCAGACCAAATTTAAATATCAAGCAGGTGTCAACAGAAGCGTGGAAAACGTACAGTCGCGGATTTTCCCAGATCTGGTACGAGCGGAAAACATGGCTAGCAGGGTGTGAAGTGGCTAACGCTCTGTTCTGCTCCCCCTGTGTCCTAATTCACCCTGATTGCGCCAAGACGGACACCACCTGGACAAAGACAGGTGTCCCGGATATGCACCATCTCTCGGAAAAGGTGAAGAAACATGAAGCATCGAAGATGCATATGGACAGCTGCCTAAAACTTTCGGCCTTTGGGAGAATAAACATTGCAACACAGTTGGATGAGAGCTACAGGATAGCAGTGTTCAGGCCATCAGGTAAGATAATACAATATA